CTGAGAACTAGCTTCTGTTTAATATTCACTACACGAGCGAACACCCTTAATGATCCTTCCCTATTATACATATTTCACTATTTTGTTCGTCTAATATATTCAAAACCATATGAGCCGAACTGTACCAAATTGTCTAACATAAAAGTTTAAGTATTCGGATGTCCCAAAAGGTATAAAGTGCATCTGGGTTGAATGACAAACTTCTTTGAAACAATGTTAGTGTTACAAGCTGCAAAAAACCTAGCCCAAGCTTTGCTGCCATATGCGCCATACAGACGGTGACTTCTACCTGGGTCGGGGTTATGAATCTTTGTTCTTAAACAATTATCAGCGTGTTGCAGTGTGGCAGCAAGACATTTAGATAGGTGCCGAGGTGCTGCGCCAGAGACAAAAGGGCTAATCCAAGTTAGCAGTTTAAAATCATTCGAGAGGTTCACCTTAAACAGTAGGTACAGAGGTCCCATGAGACCTTCATAAATGTTCCCTCTGAGAGCGTTGCTCAACCTCTTTTCTTTGTACTTTTCGTTGGACTACATGGGCCTACCTCAGTGGCGCTTAAGCGCAGAGATGCCTTACCTCTGTCGCATCTTAACTTTTTGAACAGTAATCTAAGCAGGCGAATTTCCAACTCGACACGGCTAAGCAAGAAGAACTGCTACAGCCTGCCCTGGCTGCAAGGTAATTCTGCTTGATTTCGGTGTCGAGTTGTCTACCGTAAGAGTTCTCCACCGATCAGTAGATTTTGGTTCTAGACAGTGCTACGAGTACGTTATGTGGTCCACTCAGAGATGGCTGCTTGGCTGGATAACAATTGAAGTATGCAAGGACACTCCATGGTCTTAGATAATTTTTCCTTCGTTCGGTTCGGTTCGAAACGCCATATGAACACAAAAAAAAAAGTATGAGAACTCCGATGTGTGCGAATGGCGAAAGCTGATTGGAGTTGTATGTAGATTAAAAAAAAAACGCCAAAAAAAACAACGTTGAAATCAGCGCCAACCTGCTTGTTGGAGAAACCTGTGCAGAACTGGGCACGCACGTATGAATGTCTGCCAGATAGACGGAAGAGCCCAGTGCAAACACATCCAACGTACCAGCTATAAGTTAAACGTTCGCCCTTACGTGAGCTATCGGGACAGGTGGCAAGCTGTATACACATAATCTCGTATAAAATTTTAAGTAAGATAGTACACTAAGTTCGACGTCATTCCATAAAAGAGTTTTCCCTCCCCTTTCCTGATCTCAGCTATTGTTGCCTATTGATTCCTGTTATTATTGTTTCAGTAGTAGCACTATAAGTACGTTGGTGAGTTCTTGGTAAACGATTGGTACCATATATTCGGAACAACGTTCAGCGCTTTTTTGGACGTGTGCTTGTTCATGTAAACTACATATATCCTATCACGCTCATGACAGATATATTCTCTGTGTAGGCCGGCTATTATGCAAAGATAAGCTTCGCAGTCACGCATAATTTACTAGTTTTTTTAACCGGTAAACCCTTCAATACTTTTGATGCTGTTGGCTAACTCGCTTAGGAAATCAATGGGGTCGGACCGTTCTGCGCAGCTACAATAGAAATTTGGCTATAACGTTGGCATAATGTCGTATTAGTTCGCTTGATGCGACAACATGACAGCTAAAGGTTGGTTCGGTTTTTCCCAGCCAAGATTAGGAAATCACCTAGTTTGAAGTAATCAGACAACAATGCCTTTGATGCTTTTGTCGCAATGTTCAAATTGTTCCTGTCTTTCTGTTGCTATCTTTGGCAGAATGTTTGCGCTTTATCGACTGATAGCAATAGTAATAAGAGCTTCTCGAACTTTCTAATGGAATATAATGTCTTACGACTCTGCTGTCGCATACCTCCAGTTCTACATGTCCTTCGCTCATTCCCTTGGGTGATTCCCAGCACAGCGAATACTCGATCCGAGGACGCTAGCCAATCAACACTAATCCTGCTGAACGTAGCATCATGGCCGTTCGATAGTTCGCTTCGACAGTTTCTCATTGGTAATCCCTTCTTTTCATTCGTCATCTAATCCCATATTTTTCAGATCTGACTTTCCTAATTTTTGTACCAAGGCAGCCTGTCCTGGAAAGAGTGCCGGTTGAAGATTCTTAACGAAACATACTCACCCAAGGGCAAACGGCTCCTACATTTCAACTGATATCGAAAAGCTCCATCAGAGCCTGTACATGTCATTTCATGCTACGTATTTTCATTTAGTAGCAATCCGCAGGTTTTGACGAAAGCATATCCTTTACATACAGGAACTAAAGATGATAAATAGTGATAATAATAATAAGAGGAAGCTGTAGTTAATTATTTGTTTATTAGGCACGTGCATAGAATGAACAATTGCCTGAATAGTTGTGCTGGCTTGTTAACGCCGCCCTGAATGCCTATTCTGAGGTAGCGCTCCCTTTAAAACGGTGAACAGTAAATTAATTGTGCAACAATTCAACGGTGCCTTAGTGCATCGTCTTCTCCACCAGTTCCGCTCAGAACCTTCTTCTATAGGAGCCTACAGGAAACCTCATTCCAAATGCATGTTGACATGATCGATATGTACATTACAAAGCCGTTCGTCATTGATTTGTGATTTTCTTGATCGCTTCGCAGACTTTCATGACAATCCTTCATAAAAGATTCGTTCTTTACATGTGATAGCCCGACGTCGGGCCGTCAAGAACAATTGACCAGCTGATAATCACCAACCTCTATTCCTAAGAGAAACAGGGGTCGGCCTTTCAGTCTCCAACAGACCCTTAAGCTCAATGCAGCTGATGGCCTCGCACGGTGAGTTTGAGGAGAATGTCCGTAGTTTCTATTCCATGGCTACAGAGTCCATCAAACGCTGTCCACCAAACGAGCGTAGAGAACTGAATTGCAGTAGATTCTTTTAAAGGTCAGTTTGTTGGAACTGCGCGTTTTGCAAAGATTTCTTATAGCTCTTCGATTACTACTGATTTCTAGTAAGGTCTGTTACCGATCGTTTAGCATCTGCGTCTAGTTTATGTATAGATATTTATCAATCCGTGCATCCGATTGGAAATGATAGAAAAGCTAGTTTTTTTTTTTAGGGTTTTTCTTTTCTATCTCGTAGCAGAATAGATACCAAATTGTTAAATGTTTTTTTAGCTGTAATTATATTCACCCCGTCTCCTCGGATGGATTATCAGGTACGATACTAGATATTAGCACGTCAAACTTGTATGATCAAGAGAGGCACAAAAGGCATGTCACATTCTATCTAACGCTCATAATAATGGAGCTCCTTAGGGCTCAATGCAGTGTATCGAAACTCCAGAACGATATAACTGACGGCAAGGATCGGGTAGTTTTCGTCTTTAGTAAAACAGCAACAGTGCACAAGTGATATAATCCATTGCTGATTTATGAGTCAGGTCATACTTTCAAAGCATGGGACGCACGAGATTAGCTGGGAGCATAAAAATACATCTACGCCTTCAGATAGAACTCTGTCCTGGTATTTATCATTACTGGTCTCGATGCAGGATTTTTACGAATGGAGAGATTTTGTGGGATCGATTTGTATGCTGAAAAAGACCTGGCAGTGTTGCTTTTAACAAGGCTCCCCCGCTGTACAGTTTTAAAGTCCCGGAAGCGGATAGTAAACTGAGATTTCAGCAAAAGAATAGAAAGTTCAACAGCAAGTACGGGCAAAGCTTCTTTTCTTTTACCACCCAAAACGTGGCCCCGTAAATGGTTTATAATTTTTACCCAGTGCGTTCTTCCAGCAACGCCATTTGTGCACCGTTTCACGTTACTGGGAACTGGGAAGGAAACATCGAGGAACGGTGAAAGGCTTAGGAATAAGCATAGGACTACGAGAAAATAGGAGAGAATTATCTGTGACAATAATTAGGTAAATTTCTAGACCGCTTGTTAGAGTACGAGTGAGTGTGATGCAAAATGGTACGGTTGAACGTACCTCGATCTCACTGTAGCAGTTGTAAGGGCACATGGACACGATGTATTTGGAAAAAATGCCTCTCACTAGAGTATTCAGTTCTCTGTTTTTACGTATTTTTTTTTGTTTCATTAAAGTGGCACAAAAGTTATCATATATTTATATTGTCGGCCATTTGATTCGCACGAATTAAAATGCCTATCTACAAGTTAGGAGCGTTGTCGATAACTACCACCAAAAATGATAAGTTGCGGCGCTATTTGCATTTGGAGGTGACAGTTCGATAGCAAACTCTATTGAATGATTTTTCGATCGAATTTTCCACCGAATGTCCTGTAAAAAAGATCCCGGCACGAGAGCTTCTGAAAAAGACGATTAAAGCCAGAGATGGAGGCTTTTACTCAATAGTTATTTAGCGGAACAAGACACAGCGCACATTGTCTTCAAATTGCAAAAAAACTTTCTGATTAGAGTAGCTATAATATAATCACATTAAAAGATAAAAGAAATATCTAAAGAACGCATTTATACTTTGAGGAAAATGTTTACATTATAGAATTTGACAAAGGTTATAAAGAGGTGAAAATGTTTTTATGAGACAAACGCATACAGTGGGAATGCTGTATGCAATGATAGTAATCAGATATAACAAACCACAGATTCTATCTATTTTATATCTTAAATAATACGTTTATATTGTAGAATTCGCAGTTTTCCACAAGGTTCTATAGGGCGAAACGACTGTATTCATGAACATGAAAACAATTTTTTTTTGTCAAATAAAAAAAACGTGCGTTTTTGAGGGCAGTTCTTTGCCAAACAGGCCGAATGCTTGAGACTAGGTGACACTTTCACTTAGAAGGCATAGACGCGTGTTACCGCTGCTGTTTCATTAACTAGAGTTTTTCTCGTCGTAGCTGTGTTTTTTTATACCAACCATAGATTTTTCATGAATGCCAAACAAGCACAAGCGGAAGGCTGGAAAATTGCTGAGGAATAGATCCTGCTAGTTGAAACGGCGTGTGCATGTCATTATAATATAACCTGTTTACTTTTTTGCAGTCGTGTACCCGATGCTCGACTGGAATGGCTGGCAGCGTGGCGGGATGGCCGAAGAGCTGGGTAGATCCCGATCAGGTAGGAGCATACATACATTATTTAAGTACAACAATATTTGTATTTTTATTCCGTCAAAGCGAATCATTTCAGACTCTCAAAGCCAACAAGCACTTCGCAGTGAACAACGTTGCATCGCTATATTTAGCGCGTATTATGAATAGGGATGTAATAATAACGTAAGTAGCCGCACGATAACTTGATGGTAAGAATTAAAGTAACTTGGAAACATCACAAGTCGCAGTTAGGAATCAGAGCCGAGCCCTCGTACCGGTAAGTTCTACTAACCCAGTACCGCGTATACGAAGGGCGATATCACAAATAAGAGCAGGTAAACATAAAAAAGTCACTGATATGAACGATCATAGCTCGTGTCACAGTAGTCCTAAATCGATATGTCGGGCATGATGTTTCGAATGGCTTTCACGTTTTCCGACTAGAATCTGAAAATGATGACAGCAACGTAACGTTTGGGGCTTATTACCTTCTCGGCGTGAACCCTTAAAATAGAATATTATGTTAAGTTTTCGAGAAGGTTAAACACTAGAATAATGAAGCTCGTCGGGATTCCACAGCACCGAAGGCCGAAAAGTTCGTAAATATTTCTTTGGCTATTTGCGGCTATAAGCTGATGGAGTGTCATCGAAGTTTCAGGGCAATGATACAGGTTAGTGCGAAAAATCAATCCTGGGAGGTTAGATTTCCGTATTTTATAAATCGAATATAGCGAGGATTGGTAGAAACATTGGATAAGAAAACGCTGGATGGGAATAGCCGTTCCGCTACAGAAAAACGGAAATTAGGGGGCTGATGCCCATAGAGACGATGAATACATTTCATGGTTCCAAATGGAGGCACGAGTTTCTGTGATTACGGAGATCTCTGAGCAGCACAAAGAACGAATAATGCGTTTATTGTTCATTTGATATCGAAGTATGGAATTGTAATGATAACTCTGAAGGTAAAAGCAAAAATCAGATCTCTGGAGCTCTCAGTCTAGGACAGATGAAAGCTCATGCCGTCTATTTCAGAAGTAACTCACGTTTATATTGCTAGCAAAGGACCGCCCGAAACTCAGCGCGCCATAGCCGAAATCTGACGCGATCAGTTCATGTTTCCGTTTGAAGCTCCAAGGCGTGGTCATCCCTTCGGTAGTTTTAAACGTCCCAGTCTTATTGTACTAATAATAACGTTAGAAGGATACTACCATCGTCAAGACACTAACTTAATAACTGAACGTTGATTTCTATTACTAATATATACTTTTACCTTTAAAGTAACACTCAGCTTATATTCGTACATAGTCAAATATTTATAGTAGGTATTTGTCAACTTCGCAGTTGACAACAACTTGTCAACTTTGTAACTTAAAGGTTATGCAAGCTTTTCGAAACGCTAGATAGCGCGACATCATAATTCAACTCAAGAGAAGTATCAATTTGGACCATTAATACTGCCCAATAGAATACATCAGAAAAAAAGAAAACACTCATCAACAACGTAATGCCAAATAGGTTTACACCTCTTACAATCATCGTATGCTATAGTTCGAATGCTCCTTACCATTTGATACGAGTAGGCGAATACAATGTATATACAGATGACAGTTTTACATATATATATATA